TTTTACATATAGCCTATATATATTTTTTTTATTTTTTTTATTAGGCCTATTATTATTATTATTTTGATTCCCTACAACCTAGAGTTTTTAAAAACATGGTTTTAAGTAAAGTGTGATTTGCCAGGAGGGACGGGGATTTCCTTCTGGTCTAAACATCCCTGCTTCTGCTGAATTATTTGAATCCCCACACCCCTCCCTCCACAGCTAATCAATGCTATAGGCTACTTCACCAATAGACCATATCAAATATAAAATAGAGATATGCAACAAGCACGTTTAAACAACGACAAACAATAAAATCAAAACCAGCGTTTCAGTTGTTCATTAGTTCAAGTGGCCTTAATGCATGCACGGCTTTTCAAAATTTCACAAAGCGTTTTGAGATTATTTTGAATGAAATATTGAAGTTTATAATTAAGTGTTTTGGCAGACCACGCCGAGTGGCCCTATGCATTTTTCTAAAGTCGGGTTTTATTCGAACTTTTGCTAACGACAAAAACAGTTTATCTGTCGTCTCTGTCTCCGGGAACTGCGCGTCACAAAAATGAACCGAAAGCCACTTCAGCTCAGTCACTATAAGAAATCGGCTCTGTCTAAAGCCTTTAAATGTCTAAATATTCTGGCTAATAAATGTTATCTGATTATGTAATCCATATGAAAACGAGAGGTACAGAGGATGTACTCAAACATGTAGCCTGTAAGCGCTTCCCAATGAGAAAATGACAAGACAAGGGTGAAAATCTCGCTCTAATTAAATGTAGCAGGCTAAATCGCCCTGAATTAAAATGTAAAAACAGATCAAATAATGCATTTGTCGAAATGTTGCGATATTGTTTCATTTAAGTTCATAATTATTCAATACATGTTATTTAATTTAGCAGCATTACCACGAAGCACCGTGGTTCGATATTTATTTGAATAAAAAATAAAAATAAAAAAACTTAATTCACAAATTGCATGCCTGGTTGAAAGGATCCAAAGATCCCTGTAGACTTTAATATTGAGTTGAACATTTTGTTCATGAAAACAAATTAACATGCGTTTTTTCAGATTATATTTAGTTTTGCTTGGAAAAAGCTGGCCCAAACCAGTTTTATTTCATCAATTACTGAAATAATTAAATATTTAGTAATAAGCTTTTATGACAGAAATATCACTAGGCTACATGTAACTTAAATCATTTAATTCCTTCATTATCAACACTGTCTAGAATAGCGATTTAAGTGTGAATTGTGACTTCTCTTTGTGTTAAATCAGCCTCAGACTCCAATAGCCGGTGGGGGGTTGGAGGGACAGTTCAGTGCTGTATCGAGCGCGCAGGACAATAGGCATAGGTGTTAATGTTCCTCTTTCATATGGAGAGCGAGGGAGACTAAATAAACTTGTTAAAAAGAGATTCAGCGCGAGAGAGGCAAAGAAAAACGCATGTTTTAATTTAATTATGTTGCTTTGGACAATTTTCGTTTTGTAGGCCTACTGTTTTAATTGTTTAATATAGCTGTCATTTCTTTGGCAATACAAATTTAAAATGTCGCAAGAATAAGATTAGCCTAGTGTTTCTTATTTTGCATCGCAAAAGAAATAAACTCTAAACCCGATGCAACCCTGTTTTAAATAAAAAAAACTGTCCCGACACTTTATTTAAACCTTGAAATGTTCGAACTTGGTTTCAAACTTAAGTAATTTTAGTGTTCTTTTACATTACACAATAATTTAGCAGACTAAAGACGAGCTTCTTCATTTTCATTTTCTGATGCAATCGGCTGACAATCTTCCTTCATCAGTTTTTGTCCTTTGTGCAGCGGCTGCGGTTCCAGGAATGTAGCAAATTTATGTTGTAATAATAATTAAACAAAACTCTTGACTTTAAATAAGTAAACAGTTATAAACAGTTAGCTATTTAAGCATCAAGAAGGTTAAACATAAACGCTGTAGGGCAACATCGGTTAACAACATGTATGCTACATTGAGATTCGATCCGAGTCGATTGAAGCTCCTCGAAGCTCGTGTTGTTGCGTTAACCACTGAGCTATCGTCTATACGTCTGTGACTGTTTTTATTGCAATGTTTTACTTTTTCATTATTTATTCAATTTCATTTCAGTAGCCTAATTTCAGTATTGTGATTATGAATTATTTTAACTACGTTTCACTTGTTGAATTCTTCTGCTACCAGCTTTCAAACGCTCTGAATCAGTGCGGTGCGGCAGCAGATTACGCATTAGAGAGAATAAACAAACACTTTTCAGAGTCTATGATTGTAGCGCCTCTTGGCGGTAAAAGGCAGCAAATACACCCCACATTTTACCGCCGCGGTGGAACGGCTGATGTGGGCGTTGTCATGGCTTGCCTCGACATTTGCGTTTGAATAGCGCGCGTCCTCCGTGGGCGTGTCAGATTAACGCGTAATGAAGTGTAATGAGCTGGGGAAAAAAAATCTGACAGCACTCTCTTTTCATACAGATTACATAAACTGAGAATATTTGTTTTTTATATAAATT